CCAAGTAACATTTCAAGATGATGAATGACTCCATTTTCTGATCCTACATTTACATTGGTTCCATCACAACCAACACACACAATGGGCTGCTGGGTTAGATTTTTCTCCACCAGAAACTCGTGAATAGTTTTGGCAATCTGCTTTCCGTGTCCAGTCTTGGGAGTCACATGTGTGAGATATTCATTGCCAGGCTCAACCATGATGACATAATGAAATGAGAAAAGGCTGATAATCAATATAGACATAGCACCATACTCATCTGCAACAAGACAACTTAAATGAAATAAGAGATATGAAAAAAAAGTTGATAAACACTGAACAGAACATTGCACCGCCACAGCGGCTGTTTGGCTAGTACTGTAGGTAAATTTAAAAATTTCAGTAGAAAATGCGGCAGACTAAACCTCGACATATCAGCTTCAAATTTGGCATGGAGTCTTAGATATGTATAAGGAACAATGCCTGAAGAGTGCAGCTTTGAGCAAAATTTCACTGCCCCCTACTGTACATATTGACGATAACCTGTTAATCCTAAAGATGATAGAATCTCCCTTTTAGCTTTTGGAATTTCCATTTTACTCATAGCCTAAATATTCTTCCGTAAATTTGCCAATCTCACATTTAGTCGGACGAGCTGTTAAACCTGCCCTGGACAATATCTCTAAAACTTCCCGTAAACACCTGTATATGTTGTTCCCAGGTTTAGGTACAAATCAAGATGTCAAGAAAAGTCTCGTCTATCTGACAAAATAATATACACATTAATCTTTTAAAACCGACACTTGCATGGACTAACCCCAATTGCAATACATTAAACACTATTAAACCTTGCCTGGCTTGAAATGCTGTTATTTCTTTACTACCGTCATCTAAAGGTATCTGCCAATACGCTTTTGCCAAATCAAATTTCGAGAAAAAATTACTTTGATAATTCTGATATGGTCATCGACTGTCTGATAGGTTCAGAATCAAATAAGGTTAACTTATTTATTTTCCTGAAGTCTAAACAAACTATTCGCCATATCCTTTTTCCTTTTGATATTTTCATAGCCTTTCTGTTTTCGCTTCTGCAATTCTTACTTTTTTCTTATTTATCCTCATACTACTGTTCAGTTCCGAATTCTAAAGAACACATATTTTGGCAAAGAAGGCTAAAACGTCCTGGGGTACATCAACTCCAACACTATCTCAGACAATTGTTTTGAAACAGTCTTTCCCCTCCTTAAGAGTGTCCCCATGTACAGCCTTAATTACGTCACTCTTGATGGTTAATTGAGAAAATAGTGTCAGAAGGAACATACAGTTCACCTCTGTTTACTTCTTCTATCCATGTTTTGGTCATGGATGTGCACTCAGATACTCTCTGGCCTAAGCGAGAGAATTTCCCGCAAAACTTTCTTACAATATAGCCACCAACGTACCTAAGAGCTTCCTCTTCTGTGACAATCTATTGCTTTACCAGCATTTTTGTCAGGGTTTAAACCTAGGCTTTCATCAAACTCATCACTTAAATATTTTTCTACTGCATTACCAATATCCAAGTCTTTGAAACAGTGATCAATTATATAGAGTTCTACTGCCAGCTCTATCATTGAAAGGTGCACCTCTATCATTTGTTTGTCCAAGACCAATATTTCTTGACTAGTAGTCAAAATTATCAATAGTTGTGTTATATTTCTCAGAAATTAGTGAGATGTCTTTTCTCAGGAGTAACTTCTTGAACCTGAACTTAAAATTCACAGCATTTGGATGGTCATAGGTTCCATGCATCTGTCTTATGCACCCAAACAAATGCCCCAGATAATCTTGATTTAGTTTTCTGGTTAGAATGAATTCAAGATTAAATGAATTCTGGAACAATTTTGTACAACCCTATAAGTAACCGAGATGATAATACTACCACTTTCTGAAACTTGTAAAGGCTTTTCAACGGTTGTTTTTTACTCTCATTGTTGTCACCACTTCAATCCTCCTATGCAGAACATTTACTTGGTCACAAATTAATTCTAAATGTATGAAGTGATGTTTTCGCCAAATTTATGAGAAGAATTAATGTCAAACCATTCGTCCACCAGATTTATGAAGTCAGCAGTTTACTTCCAATTTCTACCCTTCAGTAGTCCTCTTCAAGATATTTCAGTGAGCTAGAGCTTGTTTTTGACAACAATTGGACTGTATATTTAACCCGCTGTCGTTGCCGACCCCATGCATTTAAATGCACATCACATAGTTTGTATGCTAAACCATATTCTGTCTTACTTGCTGTCATCATTTTCCCAAATAGAGGAATCATATAAAGCTTCCGTCCTTTACGTAAAATACTGAATCGAGAAAAATTATTCCTAATAAATTTAATCAAATTTGGCACGTCTGCAAACACAAATATAACCCGATCAGTACTTTTCAGTATTTTCATTATAATAATAATAAGAAAAAATAAAAATAAAATTAATAATAAAATTAACAATAACAATTATTATTGCTCTGCCTCAGGGGAACTATAGTTTCGGCCCCAAAGCCGACAACAGCTGCAGATATTGACTGAGGTTACAGTTATTGAATGCAGCATAGGCCTGCGGCTCAACTAATTCAACACAGCTAGGATAGCTACTTATGTATTAGGATACTTAATATTAAGGTAATAAAGTAGGAGTATTAGTAGCAGATGTCCACAAGGAGAATGAGGCCA